CAGCACAAATATTCCCCCCCCGTCCCCCCCAGCCGCTCCTGCCCCTAATCGGCTACACGCTCCCGGCGCTGCTCGATCGGCTAACGTCCACCAAATGCACCTCTAATGCTCTTAGGCCAGCTAAGCTGCCCACAAATGAGCTTTCTTGGGGAGGCAGGGAGCAGAGGAGGGGGTCATGGGCGACCAGTTTCCCCAGCGCTGGTGGTAGACGTGTTCCCCTGCTCGCTCATCCGCATCCCCATCGCTGCTGGCGCATCACTCCCTATAGAGCACCCCGGCCTTGCAACCTGGGGCATCTTTACCTTCAAGGACGGCAAAAATGGGATGGGGAAAATCAAAAAAGAAAATCAATTCCCACCATGGAAATGCCAAAATCTAAGAGAGGATGGGCCCGAGGGGAGGACATGGTGCCGCCAGTCCCGCTCAGAGACAAGAGAAATTTGGTGCTTCCCTGAGTTGTTACCTGCCAGACTCTTCTTTTGAAGCTGGTCCCTTCCCCAGGTCAGCGGCCGCTTAGCGCCGCGTGGCCAGAGCCTCAAAATAGACCATAAGCACATAAGCACCCGAGCCGGGCTGGTATGCAACCCCTTGCCTCTCCTGCTGATGCCCCAGCACCCAGAAACTTCCCCCCCCCGGGTTGTTTTATCCCAATACCTGGAATCCTGCCCAAGGAAATGGTCACCATCCCTGGAGGTGTTCAAAAAACACGTAGATATTGCACTTTGGGACACAGTTTAGTAGGCATGGTGGTGTTGGGCTGACAGTTGGACTTGTTGATCTGAGAGGTCTTTTCCAACCTTAACGATTCTATGATTCTATGCAACAACACAAGGTGGGAGCAGGGAGGTGTGCTGAGAACTGACCAGCTCATCACACTGCCTGGGTGCTGTCGCCAGACTCCTCCGTGCCTGAGCATCATTTACAACCCGCTCACTGGCTCCTGCTTCACCAGTGATCCCCAGGTATGAAAATAATTCTTTATTATTGGCAGCACGTGCGAGCCCTGGTGCTGCCCCGGTGCACAGTGCATCCCCGCGCCCATGGGTTCACAGATGGCATTTTGGAAAGGAGCTTACAGGGGGGTAGGAGCTGGGAAACGGCCAAAATTCAAGGTGGATTTCAGCACTGAGCCCTTCCCAGCTCCTCCGCAGACCCTCATGTGACCCCGTCCTCCCTGAAGTCACAGAATCACAGAATGTTTGGGGTTGGAAGGGACCTCTGTAGGTCATCTAGTCCAACCCTCCTGCTG